TGGGACGTGGGGGAAGGTACTTGGGGTAGAGGGGCTGACTAAGGGAAGACTGCCTAGATACCTGACCTGACCTGACCTGCCTGCCTGCCTGCCCAGGTACCTACCCAGGCAGTGCCAGGTACCTACGAGTAGTCAGACAGGGCAGTTGATCGACTTGGCCCCACGCAACCTTATCTTGCTGTCAGAGCCTTGGCTTATCGTCAATCATACCACCATCATACGCATGAACACCACGGGCCATCGCCATGACCATGCTGCGTAGAAGCCATCAGAAGCCAGAGAATGGTTAAATCCAGAAATCCATCGTCATTCTCGACCGACTTGCATCTGATCTAGCATGAGTCGTCGTGCGAATGGTCGTCGGGAACTAGACGCTGACTCGAAACCTAGATGCGGCTTTTGTTCATGGTTCCGGGAATACCCAGCGGCCGCCTTCTGGACGCCAACGCCACGACGGTGGCTCGAAGGAGGACCTGAACTCCATGAGAACAAGAGATGCGCCTCCCTCCCATGATGACCAGCTACAGCTAGACAGGGGATGGGCGCTAGAAGGATGATACCGGAGGCTGATGGACTCGAGCCTGGTCGAATCCGGCAACCAGGCGACAAAGCACCGATGTCTGTCCTTGTCAGCCACTGGGGCCAGTCAGCGTCCCGGATCCCCTTATCTCTTGGCCAGGGTGGATCCCAGCCTCTCAACCTCCTCTCATCCAGCTCTGGCAGCTCTGAGACGACATGCCTATCTACAGACTCGAGAGATACACTGATAAGCTCCCGAGCGCCTCTGTCTCGTCCCTTGGGCCGCCCGTTTCCTTGTGTCTGTCCCACGTCGGATAGAGAATCTCTTGCCATGGCCAATGGAATGCCTCAGATAGTCAGCGATATCGCCCAAGGGGACCCAACTATGGACTTCCAGCCGCGCCCCAGACAGGCAAGGACTGTTCTGAAGCGCCCGTTTCCCACCTTGGCCTCCTTTGTTGGTGCCCGTCTCGTGCGCTCCCTAGATCGCTATTGCATCAGGAACACCTGGATCATCGAGGATTAGTCTTGGAACAGACATCAATGCTTGGTGGCTGACGTTACGCACCCATCGTTCTGCTCTTCGTTCTGCTGGGCACGCGCTCGCCGGAGTTCCTGTCCCTGTCGACGAACTTCCTCGCTTGCGAGGAGAACACAGGAGATCCCACGCTGGTGGCACTCGCTGAAGAACTCTATGTTGCTCGTCGAGTCGCATTTTTGGCTATCTCGAGACATGAAAAACAGGTTGGCCTGCACGATATCAGACTGTGCTTCTCCGGAATCAGCTCCAAGGCACGGTGTTGCCGGACTCGACGAAAATTTGTGCGCAGCTGCAAGCATATGCCGCCCTGCCACTTCAATCCCGTGCCCCCTACGTTCCGGCTATGCACTGTTATCAGTGATCGACGCCAAAGCCCGCAGCTAAGGCGACCCTGTCCACGGGTTGCCCCAGACTTCCCGCAGTGCCCAGACCCATAAGGACGGTTTGCCTTTCTCCGGACACATTAGGAGCCCCGTCTATCTCTCGTCCCACCTGGCCACCTGGGGGAGACATCAGAGGAGTGCTCGTGGCAGAGTCTAGATTGGCTTAGCGTGTGGAAGCCGCAGTCCTCGCCGGAGATGCTTTATTTCGGTTCCACGATTACAGCTCACCTACCGACTCTCTCTTTGGGCGAGCATTGATATAAGGACCTTAGAACGGAGGCCATGTTGTTGGATATTCGGCATCCAGATTCGACATTCAACAAGCGCCTTCGCACTTGAACAGCAGGCTTTCCTATACTGGACTTCGACATTGCCTGAAGCCATTTGGATAGACACGCATCTTTCTCTCGAATCCACCCCGCCTTCCCACATACAGTATCTTCGGCGGCACTGCCTTGACGGCTCATCACCATGAAGATCAGCACACTCTGGAAGGCCCCTGAGGTCAACCCAATCACACTAAAGGTATGACACTCACTGCTCTCGATCGTTGAATCCCGCACTAACATGACATTCTCAGGCTCGCAGCGTTCCGGTCCTGAACCCCTTCAACAAATATGGCCGCGTCTTCCTCTTCAGCTGGCTCGGTTTCATGATCGCCGTGAGGTTTTCTCCATCCGAGTCCGCTATCGGCATTCGTCTAACAATCTTGGGAGATCTGGGCTTTGGTACACATTCCCTCCTCTTCTGACCGTCACCATCCGCAGGAATTCGACCCTCACGCGGTAACAAGGCACCAACTCGAAAATTGTCCCTTTGAGTTCAACTCTTTTCATGTGGTGCA